TCTACTTTCAGCTTATTTTTGAACCACCTCCATTCATACAGTTCTTTATCGACTCATGCCTTATTTACGCTTATTTTCTTTAACCTGTCAGAATGCCCTTGCTTGAAAAGTATCTTAATAAAAGAGAATTAGACTAAGTAATCATATCTTAACTATTCCTCCACAAATAACTGAACTTCAATTGTCACGAACATTGTCTACTCCGCAACTCAACCTTCACAAAGCGCACCGACTGTTATATTGAGAATACAAGTCTTACTAATATTATTTACATTCATATGTGAAAATTGTTATCCCTCATAATCCTATGATCAATGCGCTTTATAAAATATTAACCTAACTGCATCTGTAACAATTTGATCTTGCCTGTAAACTGGCATGCTTCATTTAACAGACTGATGTTTGAGGACAAATTACTACTATTATTTAGTGAAATGCACTAATGTTAAGAGGTACCGAAAAGCACGAAAAGCCACCCAGCAAAATAACTGGGACCTCTTGGATTATTTTTGCAGTTCAGATCATTCAATGGATTTAAAATATGTGGGGCTAGTTATGATGAGTAGTAACGATTCAAAAGCAAACAGATCAAACACGCAGTATAGCAAATAATCCAGGAGTGCTTGGTGTTGCTGACCTTTCTGTCACTCGCTCGATTGAGAGCAAATGAAAGAGTTTAGATAATTACGTGTTTGTCACTGTTCGAACAATCTAAATTGACCTTACGTTTACAGAAAATCGATAGCTTAGACGCATCGCACAATCCCGGAGTATTGTCTTCGTTATTTGACAATGGAACTAAAAAATGGAAATAAGGCAGGCAGTGGCCGGAAGAAAAGATACTATAGGATAGTCCTTAGTTCAAGACAGATTGTAACGTTAAACGATGGAACAATATGAACAATTAGGTCCAGATAATCATTCAGCCCTTGCTCACGTTGCTAGCTAATGTCTAGTTACGTCATTTAAAGGCCATATTTGCTAGAGATTGATGTTTAAACAATTTTGTTTCGCTTAGGCATGTAAACGTTATTAAAGCCTGTTAATCAACCGTCGTAAGCCAACAAATAATATAGATGACCACGCCTGCTAGGCTGAGCCATGCCATCCGATTGAATTGATCAATTCTTCCTGCCTTCTTAATTGTTGGCCTTCTCTCCGTGTTAAGTGTTGAATGTCTATTCTCCCAGTTATTTCATGTTCAGCATTGAGGATTGTATGATTATGACCAGTACCACCGCATACTCTACAGCCCGAACTGTCTTCTCTTCCGGACCTCAAGTGTTCTACCTCTGATGTGCTTCGGACGTACTGAAATTTCCCCCGTCTGACGACTTTGACAGCGTTAATACCACGTTCCGATACATGCAACTTACAAGCAGTGTTGCATATAGTGTCCGCAACACCAGTTGTCCTAGACATTACGCTCATTACTCATAGGAATTCTGTCAAAAATTTTGAATATGACTGAAGAAGAGGAATTTCGATCGATAGACAAAAGAAAGGGTAGTGAGACTATGTTTTATGGACAAACTTTGAGCGACGCTAAAGTGACTTTGAGAGTGTTTACCTACTTACTAGGGCTAAATGAGGGTCATAAAGCGGTTTGAAGAAAAAGGATTTTCATCACGAAGCGATATCAGCTATAATGCCAAGACTCTATTTAGCCAAATGAATGGATGGATTTCGCGCCAAAATCTAGGACCTGTTATCTAAAATCTGATTGATTCGTCCATAAATTATAGTCTCGCCAAAAGGGTGTCAATAAGAAGATTCCACTGTTGTTTCACGTCTACTGATTCGCATTTCCTTGACCAGAATATCTTTTTGAAATTTGCTCAAACAGCTTGTAACCAGTTTTAGGAAGATTTGACATTAAGTGATAGTACATTGTCATCTGTCGTTGAGAATCTAAGTCGCATAGAAAATTTTAACGCTTGGATGACTAGATTAAACTTACTCCCTGACTTTTCTTATCGTTACATTCTCAGGTCACTGTGTAGGTAGTGAATCAAAGAAGAGCAACCTTTAAATAATACAGGTAAGGGAAGAACCATGTTGGTAGATATATCATCAAGTAATAATCCAGTATTCAGTGAGCCACTTTACTTTGTTTTCTTGGAGCAATGGTGTTAGACCGTACTCCCCAAGTTGCTACATTCACATTTGAATCATCAGAATTAGCTGGTTAGAATTATAAGTCAAGGTATTCCTTGTGAGGTAAATGTGAAGTAGTTGAGGGAGCTGGCTTTGTTTTTCAAATCAATCATCCAACTGACATCTATTTGGTTGAACAATTAATAACTTCGAGAACTTACGGGAATCCTTATGCTAGGATTCGAAGTCAGCAGCTCCTATGTCGGGTGAGTCAGGTTACTTGGAGTACCTTAGATAGTGGTAAGGTGCCAGTATCCCTAGGGTCTTGTAGCCATCTAAAATTCTCGAGACACGTGAAAAGTGTTAGTGGAAGGAGTTCAGAAGGTAATCTAGAATGAATAGTATTCATCCCTTAATATTACGTTACACAAGTAAATGGATCCTACAACTGAATGAACTGTAACGATATCAACATCCAAAGGATATGAACCAAAAGGACTTCAAACAGACGTAGAATCACACCTTAATCTAGCACACTGAGACTCAGATCTCAACATGTATTGAGTAGGAAAGGACTTTGTTTATACACGTTAATACACACGGTGCCGCATACTTATACGTTTTCGACTTACGTAACTAGTTCCCGGGTTTGTGAGTACTAGTATGGATAGCAACCAACTAAGAGTAAGAATGATCGTTGACATAGAACGCTTATTCTTATTGATAGATAGCAAACATTGCAGCCACCTCAATTTCTGAAATTTACAAAACTCGACGGACGTAAAGATGTATGAGCAGGCTATATCTATATTGAATGTAAAATGCTACATTCCCAAATTTATCGCTTATTTACAGAACTACAATTCTAAGGATCTTGAGATGTGGGTGGAAAGGAAGTTAAGCTCCATTTGGTCAATGAAGTAAGTATATACTGTAGTAAGGATACTGATGCCTTTGTTAGCCTGAACATCTGTTAGTTAAAGGAAACCTGTTATGCACGGAGGGAATTTACAGGGTTTATGTTAAAGTGATCATAATACGAGGGAAAATGCCAAAGTCCTAAAGTGCGCCTGGTCTCATTATAGATGGACAGATCAGCATCCACTCTGGTCTGTAGTTACAACACACTCCACAGTGAATAAGATGTTTGCAGGGCACGACATGATTCTAACATCTAGCGATAAGTACATAGATACTTAGCATGACAGAATTGCTTCTCATTCAGGTATGTCTCTTTCTAGACTTTTGTACACCTCAAACCCTGAGAACAATTTACTATAATCCGTCAGTAGTTAAGTGAGTAACAACTGTTAAGCCACTGAAAACGACCTAAGAACCATACATCTCCCAAAGTCCTCTAATGCTTTACAAATTACAATTTTGCACCAGTAACTTGTGTATGGTGAAAAAAACTAACGATGTAAAAATAAATTGAAACGGAGATTAAAACATGATTGTAGCAGAAGAAGCAAGGCCTATGGTCGTACCAACCACTATTAATTTAAAAAGCTGGATAACATGGATGTGACAAGTCAAGTATTAACTCACTCATATATGTTGTAACATTATTTATATCATATCATCTGACGATCGTACGCGGAGCATATCCCATATTGTTTTGATACCACTTGAATTACGGATTAATCGCTTGATTATTCCACTTAACCTATAACGAACTCGACATTCTAAAGCCCAACATTTTTCATCAAGTGTTTCAGGTTTAATTAAACGGTTCCTATTGATTAAACACATCCCGAAAATACCAATAAGGTCAATCTTAACGCGGCTTAACTCCTGTGACTTGCTTTGAATATTAGCATAAACGTAGTGTAGAACTCATAGATAACAATTTCGAAAAAACATTACAAGAATTTTGACAGCTTCTAACCTTGGGAGTACTTTTTTATTTCAGTCAGTACGGAAAAATTATGGGAAGAAGAAATCTCCAGGAAATATCTATCCCGATCTCGAAAAACGAATGAAATTTGAAAACATTGATGATTTTGATAAACTATTTTATTTGGTAAATGAAAATGAAGGTACAGAAGAATAAGTTTTATCAAGGAAAATTATATATACAGAACCTTATAATGTTATAACGCAGATCCGTTAATCGGCTGTAGGTAATAGTCCTAAAAGAAATAGAAAAGTTACAAAAAGTCAACGCTATTTTATTTCAATGAACATACAAGTTGATGATGAAAGATAATGAAATCTGAGTTACATTGATACGAAATAGTTCTTAAGAGTGCAATTCCGTTACACAAACTACAAAAAATATGGATTATAATCCGGAACAAAAATCTCACTTATACATTAGTTTGTTCATATGTATGGTTTTAGCCAGAGGAAACTTCAGGAGAAAATACTAGCACTTTTCTACATTGAATTCTCGAAAGGACAACTCTAAGAAAACAGTTTGACAGGAATGAAGAGTTGAGTTTGCTATTAGTTTTATTGTTTAAACAAATACACAGTGGTACAAAAAGGCACCAAATATATACACGTCACACAAATTATTTGATTTGTGTGAGGGCTGGGATACAGCCCGGGTGCCCAGACCGAAGCAGGTGGTTGTCTTAGGGGGCCACACCCCGAGCCTTCGACCTACAGGCCTAATCCACAAGGCAGTAGAGCGACGTCAGGAGATGCAGCCCCATGGAAGCCGGTGACCAATAATTGGTTCATACGCCATTTGTTCCTTCAGGATCCCGGAGCCCATGTCCACCATTGGTTTAGAATCAGGGTTTTACAACTCCCCTAGGTGGATCCTCCATATCCACCAACCCGGTTAAAGCGCCGAACATTCGCTTTTCGTCCTCTCAATTTCGTAAACAACACCCCCGTCACAAGAAGGCAGTGAGTAGGACTTCTTTGGCAGTGGCTGTATACACGTAGCCATGTGAGAGCATTTCGAGAGGGAGAGCCGACTCTCCCCACTCTCGACCGTACCAGGGCATTTGGGGTCTACTAGACAGGAATATGCAAGATGAAATCAATACGCCATAACCCATGACCAGAGAAAACAAATATTAAGCTTGTTCCATAAAATATAAAAATGATTGATATGGTTAAACCACAGAATATCAAAAGTACAATGAAAGTAACCGAGAAAAAGTTAGTATTTATCTACATTAACTGCTTAAATCCCTTATGTTTGATTTCTTGTAATCCTGAATCGAGATTGACATGAACTAATCTAAGAAGTGTAGCAAAGACGGTAGTCCTTTTTCTTTACACGACTACACCCCTTCATTTTCAACAATTATATCTTCCGAAAGTACTCCAATGAAATTAAAAATGGGTCTCTTGGTTGATTTATAATGAAGAAGAACCATAGTGCAAGTTTCAAAGTTCGACTAACTTATGGAGGAGAAATTCAAGTACTTTTTCATTGTCCCAAAGAATTTTGAGACTGTTCACAGCTGTAAACAATTAAAGTGGGATACTATTACATATTTATAAAATCTCAAGTTAACGTAATGTGAGCAGCAAGAGAAGCGTCGCATTGGATAATAACATGAAGGGAGAAGACAACAATCAATGGAAACGTTACATAAGGTCCTAAAAGACATTCGTTTCATTTTAGTGCATAGATGTGTTAAGTGTGACAGAAAACTAAAATACAGTCATTGAAATCAACTTTAACCGAAACTTATAACGACTCAGTTCGTTCGATTTTCAACAGTATGAAACCCTATGCAGTTATCAAAGATGCAGCAATATATAATAGTTGGATACATATATTCTTCACCATAAGATAGAGGATAACCGGGTAGTGGTTCATATGTAATACATTTAACAGTCTTCTCGGGAAAACTACTATTTACCGTGTTTATTTATCTGAAGTTTTACCCACATAAGTAAGTTTTTACTACCTTGAAAAATTTTCTACTTACTAGGATGTAACAAAAAATGTATTTATTATTAACTCTACACAATGCTCAATTTATTCGAAACTATGAAGCCCAACCTTGGTATTGATACCTAAACCTTAACCAAAGACTTTTACTAATACAAAAAGAATCTATAGCAGATAAATTACCATAGATACAAGCGTAGAAGAATGATACACATAAACGATAAGGAATTAGGTTTTTGAATGTATACAAAACTCTGTATACAGCATTTTGTTCCTCTTAGTTTGTCAGCTTATTTAAATACAACTAAGAAAGTCACATTTTCACGACCCATTTTGATTCCTACGAAGTCATTTCTGTATACTTTCAAGTTAATGATTACACTAGAGGAACTTAACTTTATGAAGCCGTAAGGGTCACATCCCGGATTCCGTTAAACATCGATATCAATCAAAGATTAGTTCAACGAGATTTCTCTGAACAAACTACCGAAGATTAGGTTTCCCAACTAACATTTACCATGGTGATGCAAATATTTTAAATATACCTATATTGATTGGTGGTATTTGGGTAAATAAATTTTCTCGATTTAAAAGAAATATGGTTTGATTATGCATATAAACTTATACTCGAAATATTTTCGCACGTTAAATTTACTTTTTAAATAAAAATGTTACTTCACTCTACGCCTTATGTAACTTATGATTTCTGTGTTACGTCGTGATAAGACGTACCCACTATGCATCCTAAGACCAAGTGAGTTATTTCAGCATGAAACAAAAAATTGGTCAGAAAACAAACCTCTCTACGCCTAGCTTCCATGAGTTTGCGATTATTCTCTTCAAGTATTTTGTCCAATTCTGCTTGTTTACGTTTTTCCTCCTCCTGGAATAAGGCAAAACATTAAAAAACAGTTTCACATATAAAAAGGTGAACAAAATATCTTACATACATGTAACATAAATGTGAAACCATAATACTGACATTCAATCGATATAAAACAATTGGGATTTTCTAGGAAAATCTATACTTCTATAGCAAACAGCTTAAATCAAATTATGAGCTTGTTCAAAATCCAGAATAATTAAGAACCAGGAACAATAAATTCGAGCATAATACATTAAATATTATGAAATCTTGTGTCGTAACGCAGTCTCAACAGATATTGTCACATTTTATATAAGTTTAAAAGATATGCAAAAGTACATCATACGACTGAAGGCTACTGGTTCCAATAATTGTGATCTAGTAGAAGCTAGGATAACTACACTAGGTGGTAACTCAACTACATCATAAGTATACTGGCATAAGCAATACTCTCGCTTCCTACTAGGAAATCTGATTCACAATAGAAAAACGAAATCCTGCAAGATAATGAGAAATGAGTTGACCATTAGAAATATTTTGCAAATATCGAAAGTTTTAAGGCATATTCTCAAAACGTACTTAAAGCGTTCAATAAGTTACTACCACTTTACGTCACAATGTGAGATATCTAACTGATAACTAAACAGAGAGTAGGGTGTGCAGGTATGTAGTTAATTACTCTAATAATGCAAAATACAGCTTAGTTGTTGCGAAGAAATTACGGTCAATAAAAAAGCCAAAAGCAAATGCCAAGTGAAAATCCAGTAAACAAAAAAGTGGCAGATGAAAATGTTCGTGTAATAAAGATGACATGTAATTGAAATACAAGTAAATTTATAAGGCCCTGCGACTCTGTGGATTTTCATCCTTTAGAGAATACTTTTAGTGCTTACGTTGACTCTCTAACACCGAGTAATGTCAGACGAGAAATAACTCCAGCCTTTCCAAACCCAGATTACCATTATCTACATAAATTTTCTAAATATTAACGACAACAGAAAAATCTCCACGTTTAGATTTTAAACAATCGAGCTAATCTATATCAGATGAAAAAATTAAAATGCTGAGCGACACATAAACAACAAACAATAACTGAACGTAACGACTTTGCATCGTAAGCACTGAACAAATTATCAAATAACTCCAAAATGTTTACAAGGTTACCTCCATACGTCTCTGCTCTTCCAGCTTGCTTTGGTATTCACGTTCGATCTCATCTAGTTTATTTTTAACTCTCCGGTCAATTTCCGCTTGATATCTTCTTTCCAATTCAGCCTGGAGGTCTTCAGCCCTATCTACTAAAGCAGCTTCAAAAGCCTCTGTAACCCGAGCTTCTAACTGCCTGGCTGCTTCCGCCTCTCGTTCACGTTCCTCCTGCAACCGTCGTTCTCTGAATTATGGAGGATATTATAATCATGTTTCGTTAAAAAGTAATAAATATCAAAGTGGTCAATTGCTGTAAAATGTAGGCAAAATTTTCCTAGACTGTCAGACAAGTACTAAAACGTGGAACTAAAAAATATGAATATATAGTTAAGTTGCTCTGCTCTGAAACTGTGCAGGAAAAGAAACTGCGTAGATCTTATAAATTACTAAAAATGTTTGGGTCTGTAGAGTGAATCAAGTGTAGACTAATAAACAACTGAACGAATCCGTCTTAAACAAATAAAATTTCATCTATCATCCAGGATACTTGATTGCTGACTTTTATGGTAACAATAGTTTCAAAGTCACAGGCTCGAGCCCCAGTAAGCTTACTTCAGTTGTGACAGGGAAGTAGCAATACTAGTGCGCACACTAAATGTGACTTAAATACGTCAGTCGACCAATCATAAAGAGACAACAGTATGAAGCCAACTACACAGGCATGGACTGGGTAAATGAGTACCATAATAGCGGGCAGTACAGCGTGAATCCATGCACAACTCAAAACAGTGAATAAGTTCACAGACTGGTGTTGTGTCTTCAACTTCAGTAGAAATATAAAAAAAACCGATTATATGAATTAGAATATATAAAAAACATTGTTTCCAATTATATCCTCACCAAGTTTAACAGTAATATTTATATACATATATGATTGGTCATTTAATCTATTTCATTGTTATCATTGACTAAAAAATTTCTTTGACTGACTAGAAAGCCTGGTGTCAGTAAGATTGATTATGATTACTAATGATGCGGAATTACTGTGAGCAATTCGAAAGCATGACAATAAGCTAGCTCAGAAGGATTTAACTTCAAAATTGGTCAGACGGTAAGAGACTGACACATAACTCTGTAAAGTTCAAGATGATCTATTTAAAACAGAATGTCAGCAACATACACAGTTCGAAAGACTATGGTTTTCTAGCGTCGTTCGAGGAAGATTTGAGCTTCGGTTACATACAACCTCACATCTAATACCGTGACACGAATGAGTCATAGGCCAATCTAGCGTATGTAGCGCGTTTCGATTTTTGATAAGAATTTCCAATCAGTTTAAAACCGCCTTATACGACCGAATTTAGAGTAAAGAAATAACATTTTACAAGACCAATGCTTTGAGGTGCATTCAAGAGAAAATTTATCTGGGACATATGGTAAAATTTGGTTGTTTTTCTCTAGAATACTAGGAACTGGAAGACCATTTTATCCTGACAAACAGCATCAGAAGCCATCATTGGTTTTTAAAACCTAGTCCCAACACTAACCCTAAGAAGAATCTTTAAAGGTTTGAATTTGAATGTAGCTAATCTACTCAAATTTGTTTTTTTTTTTGACGTCGCTGAACAGAAAGCACATATCTCTTTAGATATTTAACGAACTCACGTAGCGAACTGAGTCTTATTTTTACTCTATCAACCTCTGCTGATTTTTTTCACATACATAAGTTTTACTTGAAGGCAAAGGATGTTAGATTCTGCCAGAAATATGGCACCTGGTTAAGAACAAAAGCTCCTCTCAATTTGATGAAAATTGCAACCTGACAGTCTTTACAAGAGACTAGTTTTTCCGTACAATGTGTAGAGAACAGTGGAGGAAGACTTATTCATTTGTTTGGGGAGGACGTAGACAAAATGAAATCTTATGAATGCCTGAGTGATGTTCCATGAATCTTTGTGGTACACCCAACCATTGACAGTTGAAATTTTGCTTAGAAACTAATTTACTTTAATGCATAGTCTGATCATAGAAAATGAGTTAGTTGAGTGTGTTGACTCTGCCCACCTTAGGTCTTAACAGGCTTGATATCTGGAGAAACCTCAGTGCCAAAGCATAGTACTTAGTTGAATCTAATTAAGTCACAGCTTAAGTGAGTACACTGCACAACACATCGCTATCACCTCATAATCGTGAAATATCATATGTGAATGTACAGGATATATCCAAGTCAACAGCACTCAATCATCCCTTCAAATTATTGATTATACATAAAGGAACTATTAAATAAACATGAGACTATATGGATTACTAAGTAAAAACAGAAACTAGATTAGTAACACCACGAACGTCCATCAATCAACGTAGTTAAGATATATTGCCCATACCTACTCGCTTCATAGAGATGAACAATAATTTCACTTTTAATATTTCCAAGTGACTCAAGTTTGTTACAATCCTACATTTTATTATTCGCTGGTCCCATTTATTGCTTATAAATTTTGAAGTATGGCACCCCATTTTATCTGGTTATTTTTCGTCATCATAACTTATTCTATTACTATGATAGTGAAATAGAGAGATAGTGCAAACCGAAATAAATGAATTGATATTCTGGTGTTTCGCAGCAAGACTTATGAGTTTACACAACAAAATAGAGCATGAAGCACTTAAGTTTTCAATGTACTAAAATCAAGCATTTGGTCTAATTTGTTAACCATACAGTGGTTTGGACGCCTAAAGCATATTTTTTAAGTGTGGTTAAGGCTAACAAAAGCTTTGAGTGGCAAGGCTTACATACGAAGCGCTGAGACTTTTCGGATCCAATACAGCATAAGTTTTAGAACAAAACAGTTACCTTTCTCGTTGCTCCAGAGCACGCTTTTCAGCTTCTTCTTTCCTTCGGGCCTCTTCTATTTTCCTATCTATTTCCTTCATTTTTGATTTTCGATTTCGTCTCTCTGCTTCACTATCGTAGCTTGACACCGTCGAACTTCTTTTTCTGAAACAGTACTAGAGAAATTATACCGTCGGTTTACCTCCGTCTTCTGTCATGACGATGACGGTCTCGATACGACCTTTCGTTCCCTCTTATGCGTATCCTATCGCGTTCTTTGTCACGATACCTGTCGCGCTCTTTGATTCTATCGCGCGAACGGCTTCTGTACCGTCTAGGTTTCGACTTGTGACCACTAGACAGTGATCTGCTACGCGAACGGCCCATTAACGTAGCGAGAGAAAGGAGACGGCCGCTATTATTTTAACCTTGAATATCGTCAGGCCTAACTGAAAGCTTAACTATGAATTATGCTGAGTAATCTTTACGATAGAGAATGAAAATCTTCAAACTTCGAAAGTCTCAAAGAGAAGTACATTACAGCGCTTAATTTGAAAATAGGAGCTGCTGCGGAATAAACTACCTGCGGTAAATAAATCCCCAAAATAAATAGCCCTGTAAGTTTACGACATTAGATGCTGACCATATGTTTTATTGGACTCATTTAGCTGAAGGCGCTCGATCATGCATCCGCACCAGATCACGTGTGGTAACGCTGTGCTCAACATCTACCGCAATCGCTAGCCAGATTAGATCAGAGAATTCCGATATATTGGTAATCGCCAAATACACTCTTCCGATCTCCTCGACTCTGTCTTTTGATTTCTCTCAGTGGGTACGAATTATATTAGATGTTGCTGGTAAAAGCGTTGTCAAACACTGAATACCTGTGACATCTGCACCTGCTTCTAATGTCAGTCCCATGATTTTCTTGTTCTGAAGCTTGTGTTATTGCTACTTGATGCTTTCCTTAATATATGTAAATCCATGGATCGTCGACTCGGCTTTTCTTTTGTATTCTTCTTTTCCCACTCACCCTTCTGTACACACACCACGAATACACAAAGTACCTTCTGGATAGACATGAACGACCACTGATTTGTGGCATATTCACACAAGAAAATTCAATTTTTCGCTATCACGTAGCCTTAGTCCCACTCTTGTGTTAATCTTAACTGCTTTCTTTATTAAGTGTGAGTGCATCTCATGTGCTTACTGAATAGTCCGCTGATTTGTTCTCTTCACCTTTTGATTCCCTCAAGTTCGATTCCATATACTCCTTTGGCCTACTAAATACATTCGAGATAGACGTGAATCTATCGAAGGCTAGACGTTACAGGGTTTTATTATAATAGAAAATTGGATCCGGGCACGTACTTAACACTTGAAGAGATAATCACTTATACGAAACTCTTTATGTACATTCATTCTGACTACAATTAGTTGAAGCTTCAGTTTCTGGTACACAAACGTGTTTTTATAAATGCCAATTTTCTGTATCTTGAGCGGCTGAGTTCCTAAACGCTTCGTCACGTTCTCTCTACTTTGTTATCACTATTAGACTATCTTGTTGCCACGTCTCTGCATTTCATGGTTAATCTGGCTTAACTGTGAACGTTTTCCATTTTCGTGCTAAAATTTATGGGTGTTTTCGATACTGTTATTGCCAATAAACCTGTCAAAATAGTCACTGACCATTATGTGGATATTGACTCTTTACAAAGTCTTTTCTCCCAGATAAAGTTCAGACGACACTCAGTCTGATGGAGAACTTCCCAAACAATGGCCCACTTTTTTCAGATAACTTTAGTTGTCATTATACCGTCTACCCATGATAGAAAGGCTGCATTTATCGTTATCGACAAGTTCGGGGAATAAAAACCGTAGTTAAGACCATAGTCGAATCTACTTGCACGGAGTCTTACATTTCCACGAAAAAGATATCACAACTACTAGGTTGTTCGTCTGATGCAAACATTGTGATTCAGAAAAGTACTTAAATCCCCAGACATACACGATCAACAACGACATGTACACCTGTCTTTGCGAAACCACCATGTTCATTTTGTGATATTCCGTCATAATGCCACACCGACATTCATAGTGATCAGTGAAAGTCTTTATTACAACAGTCATACAATATTTCCCTTGAGTTTATCTTCTCTTGCAAAATGCTATAAATCCGAAATTATAAAAACGTGTTTTCAACAGAGGGGTTAGTCACACATCAAGTGAACGAACTTTCGAGTCCCAATTAGGCGTTCTAACGGATATGAATTTTACGAGCTTTACATTTACAGAAGAACCACATTTATCTCCTTAATGAACGCTATCGTCTACATTAGAAGGGCTTTTAAAAAATAACTCCTTACATGAATAAAAGAAACCAGGACTAAGCTAAAGAAAACAAAAGGGCTGTCTTATCAGAAGAGGTCGGCCCCCCCACCAAATACACTATTTGCATGAGTTTGTGATAAGTGAGCCTGAAAGATATAAACAAGTAACGGGACGTACAGCGCTCACTGCCAAATTCAGCCACTAAACTTATGTTCATTGCCTAAAGAACCGATAAAGAAGAGTGCATACTACAATATTCACTACGTATTCCACAATGGAATAACATATGGTTACCAAACCCTCATTTGTGAATTAGTGAATGGCAATGCGGATACAGTTCATACCCCAGATATTAATTTAATAAATAAGAATAACCTCAATAGCACTAATTTTTATCGCGCTTATGTTCTCCATGCCATTAAAACCGTTAAATCTGAGACAAAGTCCGCTGCAAACGACATCCCTTCAATTCTGTACAGAATTACGGTGTGGGACATACTAATACCATGACACTACACTTAGATGCAGTGAAATTTGATTTTTCAAATCAAAAATAAGAACCGATAAACCTAGTCCAGAACTATAGATCAATGAATATCACTGTAGTTAACTCACACATGATGGGGAAATTGATATGGGGCCAAATATTCGCTCACCTACCCGGAGAACGTATAATAAATCCCCTGAAACACGGGTTGGATAGATAAAGATCTCACACCCCATGTCTGGTAGATATCTTAAGCCAGGTTACTCTCCTCCGTAACCAAAAGCACCCAGTGATCCTGTTAGACTTAGAAGTTGTTCAGTATCATTGCACTTATCTGTGCGATTAAGGTGATAGTTTTAAACCAATACTATGGACTTGCTAGGGCGTAACTCCCTGATCTATAATATCTCACGAAGAAGTCATATCGCTGTATATATTGGCTTCCCCTATCGTGACAGTCGACAAAATAATTTGCACGAACCTTCGAAGGATATACACGTGCTAGGAACGGAATAATACATTCAATGTAAAAAAGGAATAGGTTAAGTAAATCGAGCGCGTTTGCATGATCAGGCAGTGATGCGTGGGTTAAGTGTTCCCGCGTCAACCTTTTCTGGCCTTCTCCAACATTTCGACGGCCAGTCTACGTGTTTATTACATTTTCAGCCCCAAGGATCATGAGGTTAGGGGCAATAGCCACTGCAGTCACACTACGCCTTTACATTGAAAAATCTGCAACAACTTAAGTTTATTAGTTAAGAGTTGGCTTCAAACAACCAAGTGTATGGCAAAACAATAAAACTCAAGTATTCGTTCACTTCCTCATCTCGTATAGAAATTATATTTCCTATTGTCTTAAATTGAATGCTGAAAAGCTTTGTGTGTTTGGACAGGTAACCTCCCGCTCTACTGTAACTGTTCCACGAGCCAAATAAAAACCCGTTCACTACTAATCTGGTTGCTTCTGTCAATAGAACGAGGGTTACCTTCAGGCACAAAATATCCATTGGTATAAAACGTTATCGTTTGTTGACTAATAGACTCCATTCCGTAGAAATTACTGACCCTGCATTGCAGCGGATTAAAGTTTCTCGTAGCCAGATACTAAATAAATAGAATTAACTGCGTAGCATTTAAAATGCGACCGATAATCTGGGGTGGTACCAAGAGGAATGCCTTTGGTCCACTGCTTCATATAGTCTACAGCAACATTATGTGCAAGTGCTTTAACAAAGCTGGGACCTACCTCTACGCTGATAATTTAAAATTCATCAATAAGAATGAGATTTACGATGCAGCATGTATTACACAGACAATCCGGCATCAGGTGAACATGGTAGATAACTGGTGTAAGCGCTGGAGCTTAAAATGCAATACAGAAAAATGCAGCTATGTGTGGTAGACACGTATGTTGAAATAGAACTCTCAATTAACAAAGACGTGTTGGCCAAACTGGTGCCAGTAAATGACCATAGAGTGAATTACCTGTACTCCACTAAAGCATCCAAAATGAGGAATTTACTAGGTTTCATTATCCGTAACATCCTTCAAGATAAGTCGGGAACCAATCTTTACAAGACATGTATAAGATATACTGTTGAATACTGTTAGTTCTTATTTTACACCTTACGCCCATCTGACGTACTGAAGGTGGAAAGGCCGCAACGATGTTTATCCTTGAAAAGCTCGGACTGAACTCACCTGTTGACGATCCCTCCTCATACCGTACTCTTTTTAATGAACACCTCTGAAAAAGGCTAGGATCCGGATAGATTCTTTACTCTGAGCTTACACAAAAGTTCACCTATAGAATTATGGTCAAGCTCGGTATTGGTACTAGTAAAATAATAGATCTGATCCCAGAATTGTAGATTTGTCATGATGTGAAAACCTAATTCATAAGGTCTTGCGTGGAAGTCACATCACTGTCTATTGTGACTCGTCGTATGGTGAGAATCAGCTACATAACGTCTAATATTTCTGAAGAGCACAATTGGGTGGGGTAGAAAGCAATATATTTAATGCAAAATACGATAAGTTGTACTTAAGGTTATCACGTCTGCATAGCCAAGCCATGCCATCTTAAATGAATCTTCTCGTTTCCACCATTACCGGCCTCCCTTTAGTGTTACATGTTGAATGTCAATCTTCTCAGTAATGACATGTTTAGCTCCGAGAATCGTGTGGCTAGGATACAGTACCACTGCACACCCTCCCCCTTTGTAACTTAGTTCTTACCCAAACTCCATAAACACACGACCGTCGAGGTGAGGCATCTACGGCCTAAATTAAAAAGTGCGAAATTAAAACTTTTCTTCCTCATTTAGTATACACTTATACGGAGTATCCGGAAATATGCATAGTAAATACGTTACCTGCCTTTGTATGACATCCTGGCAACTTTTGTGCTTGCTACGTTTTCCTAGCACATGCAAACACGTTTGCGATCCACCCAAGCTTCGTCTACAAAGCTACATAGACTTCCCAAAGTTTTACTTGAAGTAGGTAAGGGACCCACTGGACCTATAAATACTGATCAACGATTTTTGGCCACGAGAAACCCCTTACGCCATCCCACTGACTCTACGCATGAAACCCAATCTGGTGCCTAACTACTGGCGATCTTGTTTTTCTTGGACCTGGAAAACATTGTATAGTCAACTATCACAATACACCAACAACAAGTTATTGTCAGTTCTTCTCTGTCTGTTTCTCATCA